ATTTACTATGAAAAAACATATCAAACTCACGGGGTACAAATAGTCTCTTACTGAATTTCGTGACCACGCCCACTTCATCGGCCCACTCAAATCGAGTGCGATTTTTGGATGTTATATCATCTTGCCGACTCTCTGTATAAAAAGTTAACAATGTACCACCGAAATATTGAACTATAATATCATGGCTTTCCATTTTGTGTATTTTCGTACTACAAAGTAAAGTTTTTCCCTCGTCATTTTCACCTTTTCCCGAGCGGGTCCGTCAAAATTAAGAAGGCGTTCGTGGTCAAAACAAGACCGAGCAAGGAGTCTTGGGCGATTTCTCTCTTACGCAAGCGCAAATTGAAAATGTACCGCCAAAATCAAAGAGAGGAACAAATTTCCTTTGTTTTGATATGTAAATTGTCGAACAAGGAGCAGATTGAACCTCGTCAAATGGCTAGTCAAAACAGCCACACCTTCCTCCTTTTGCTCGTTTCCTGTTTTATAAGCGTGAAAGCAGTGGGAGAAGAATCGGGTAGCTCGGAAAGCGCTTCACCATCGTTTACTTACGAGATAAACAAGTAAGATTTGTAAAGTTATTTTCCGAAAGAGTCGGAATAAATACATTTTTTTCAGGTTAGATTGCTGTTTTTACCCTAAACGTCGTCCAATAAATTTTTGTTGCAGCCTACTAATCTATACAATTTCGAAGGAAAATATTCAGATGCTTCACCGTCCCCGAAGGGGGTTCTGTCCTGGTGTACCGGTTCACAAGGGAATTACCATTGTTCTTTCTTTGTTTAGGAGTTATCGGTTAGCTATTGTGTATTGTTTGGTCTCTTGGATTGGCTCTTGTGAACCGGTACACGAGGACAGAACCCCGAAGGGTCTCCACTCATCGAAGTGTGTACTGTAGCCAATGTAGTGAATTTTCAGTCTCTTGTTTGGTTTGTCAACCTCTGTGACTTCAATATCATACAATTTTGTATCTTTTCTCTGTGAAGTGACCTTTTTAACAGGGGTGTATGCCGAGTATTCGTTGCAGAATCGCTTTGGTTCTCTTATCTCTCTCTTTGGCTTGTCCGCCATTTTGAAAATTTGCTCAGGAGGGCATCTGGGTTAGCGGCCGCGCCAGGCTGGAACCGACAAAATCAAATGTCCATCGCAGTGGGGAAACAGTTTGATATGATTCAGCTCTGACTAGTCGTGTGTAGGATTTTTAAGATGGGCCCGGGAGACTGTCTTTGACAGCTGTTTAATTATTTTCTTAGCAGTAAACGCGAATTTACGTCTGTAAACATCAGATCGTAGGCGCGCGTGCGAGCACACGCAATTGTCAGCGGTAGCTATAACAAATGAGCAAATGTCGATCTTATAGAATCCAGATTTTTAAATGCGCGAGAACGCGCGTAGAAATTGCTAAACTCACGAACGCTATGCATGAAAATAAGTCCGGTGACCCCTTCTTTTTATCGTTCCAATATGATAATAACGTCGAAAGGAATCATCAGAAAAATAAAACTGGAAAATTCTACGGAAGGAAATATTTAATGTGTGAAAATTGCCTCTTTTCTAGATTTTCTGAAATTCCGCTCCATAGAATTTTTTAAAAATCTTTGTGCATTTTGCTTTTCAAGTGCCAAAAGCAATCACTGAAAAAAATCAGGGGGTCACCGGGTTAGTTTTCGAATTAAGCCACAAGCTAAAAAATGCGTCTGAATAAGCCTATGAAACTGTTGCCATGGAAACTGCTGGTGACGAAATGACACCTATTTCGGGATAACCAACGATTATATAATTCATCCCCGTAAAAGTGTTCAACTGGCCTTGATAAGTCTTTCTGTTGTATTCTTTCTGAGTTACAAACCATCAAAAAGATGAAAACTGGTACCAGCCACCGTAAGTCGCCATATTGGATGATTGATGAAGCAAAAGATAGTCTACGAAACAACTGGAAAAGTACTTATTTCGTGTACGTAGCTTTCTCCAAGAATATTCTTTGCTTCTTTTTGTAGTGTTGGATGCTTGCAAAGTAAGATTCAATATTGCATTTAAAATCACAGTAAGCATTTTACCTGTGTTCGTTAATATTGGTGTAAGCCTATATTTGATGAGTTCTTCATATAGAAAGCATGTTAAGCTTAAATATTCTTGAGGAATGTAACATACTTTACTTTACCTTAATCATTTTTGCAACAAACTTAACACATATACAAAGCTGAGGGGAAGGCCAAGAAACAGGGACAGGTTCCCTTACAAAATACCACCCCCCAAACAGAAACACTACACATACCTATATATATATAATAATAATATAATTATAATAATAACTAGATTAATTAGGTTAATTCCGTGTCTAAAGCTGGTATAAATAAGCCTTACAAAGACTTTCAAAATCAGAAAGAGACTCAAGACTTTCTGACATGCATAGGTAAACAATTCCAGGCTTTAACTGTTCTATGGAAATAGGAATATTTTAGCATGTTTGTTCTCGCATATTGAGTTATTGATCAAATTAATGTACACAAGCATACTGATGCTATGGTGACAATAAAAGTGCAAGAATTCAGATCCCCTTATGCAAAACATGTCTATTTTAAGTGTACTCGTGTTGCATGTGAATGCCACGGTTTTAGACGAACCCGTCAACAAGGTAGAACACCACTGAAAAGATTTGGCCAGACGTCTATCTAAGAAAAGCAGAAATCTACAACGTTGTCCAAAATATATTGCTTTAGAAAATATGCAAGAGTTCTCAAGAAAATGAATAAATACCAGGTAAGATTGTAGGAAAAATAAGAAAGAAACCCATTCGAAAACGGTACTATTTAATGAAGTTCAGTCACAAAAGGTAAGGGACTACAACTGTACATGCAAAGAAGGATGTCAAATACTGCAGTTTTTTTCATGCAATTTGCCAATAAGTGAATATATGAATGCATCTCACATAGGTAATTGTACCAAGTACAAGCTCTGCACTGATATACACAAAAACCCTGGTCCTAATCAGCACAATGTTGACCTTATGAAAACAATTATAGCACCATACAGTCAAGGTAATGTTGCTGTAATCTGACAAAATGCTGGACAACAATGTGTTCCAATGGGTTTGTGTGATATAATATGCTAGCTACTAATATAATAAGCTGTCCTGATGACTTGATAGAAATGATGAGCATTGGAAATCAACTATATTCTAGTTTGTCACCATTAGCCAGGCAGTCTTTATTGATGCCAACAATTCTTACAGTGATGGAAGAAAATTACAACGCTGAATATTGTGAAAGCTACATTATGTACATGATGAGGTTGCATTTGGGGGATATCAGTACTGTGTGTCCCTGGAGAGAGCTTTTGAATCACTGATATCACAACAGTACTTATCATTCATTTTAACTTTACAATGTAATGCTGTTGGTATTATTTAATGTGCTGATAATGGTAATTTCAAAGTGTTTGACTCTCAAGCAAGGGATGTTTATGGCAGCAATCATCCTCAAGGGACATGTGTACTATTAGATTTGCCATCTATGCACAACTTAGTACAACACTTTCAGGATTTATATCAATCTACTGTTGTGTTTGAACTCAAAGGGGTACATATTACTAAATCTGACATAACAAGGGACAATGAGAAAGAAAGTAACACTATATATAGCAATCAATACAACTGTGACAATATGCTGTGTTCTACAACAGCACTTTATTCATTATGTTACTCTGTCATTTTGCCATGCAGTTACTGGAAATCAAATATTTTAGAAGCAATCATACAAAATGGAAATCATCTTTATAATAAATTAGGCATCAACACCCATGTCGCACCTTCTGATGAACAGCGTTGCTATTTGTGGTGCTAAGGTAAATTATCATGTAACTCAGCTCAAAGCAGGACAAGCTTAGAAAACTTAACTTTACAAAACCATGATCAAAATACTGGATTTTCAAAGTGGCTTTCCACACACTGTATTGCTTGTATTCATCAACAAAGTACGAGAATAAAATATTTGTTTTCTCTACTGAATTATGCAGTTGTACACCTTTACTAAAACATTAAACACATCAATAGTATACATAAACTCATAGATGCAATTATTACTTTCAATCAGAATACACTACAGAGTGAGTCTATATATGACATACAATTTGTATACTGTTCAAGTGAAATGTCTGAAAATGTAAGGAGAAATATTTTGCAAAACTAGAGGAAAAAAATACAACTATGACACTATGGAACCAATTGCAAAGAAAACACTCAAAGAAGACATGGATGCAACAAAAAAGAGACAAAATTAAAAAAATCATCAAAAACACACCAAGAATCAAAAATAACCTAGATGCATGTATTAAACATTTTCATTGCAAAATAAGGGGTCCTTATTTAATTTGTTGTGTCTGTAAAAGAATAATTTATAGAAAATCAGTCATAAAGTTTTTACATAGCAAGTACCCTTCTGAAGGTTATTTGAACAATAAAATATCATTCAATGGTAATGAATATATGTGCAAGACATGTCACTCAAAAGTCATAAGAGGAAAACTCCCCTGTCAAGCCCTAGTTAATCACATGTATGTTGATAAAATTCCTACACAACTAGCTTCATTAGAAAAATTAGAACAGATACTAATAGCGTAAAGAATAGTATTTCAAAAGATTGTTGTCATGCCTAAAGGGCAACAGAGAAAATTAAATGTGCAATCTGCGATGTGCCAGTAGAATGTGATCAGGCTTGTAAACAACTTCTATGCCCCCTTGAAAGACCTGGTGTACTTATGCTAAAACCCGAGAGAAAATTACAGTTTAGAGGGCATGTGTACTTTAAAGCAGTACGACCACAAATGTCACAACAAGACAAAGAAACTGCCATAAATATTAATGACATTGACAGCTGCATGAAGATTTCAACCTTAATGATTAGAAACAACAAGACACATCAAACATTAATGTAATCACTGAAAGTCTTACTGTACTTGAAGGCAATTTGAAAGATGACCAAGTAAGTAGAAATAAAGAAGATGATGACCCTTTAAATGAATATAGAGCTCCAATGCATGAGACAAGCTTACAGTCAGTTATATTTAACTATCCTGCCAAATACTCCACTATGATGGGAGTAATACTGCCATTTGCAAGCAACTGTTCCATTTATCTTTTGCTCTGGGTAGTTTTACAGATTTTCAAGAAAGTTCTGTAAAGATTGAAATTATCTACAAACCTGGATTTCATACAACCGTCTTAAAGCCCTGTTTACACAACCAATTTTATCCTGCCACTTGAGAGGTGATAATCATAGGCAGATCCAGGGGAGGGGTTGAAGGGGTTGCACCCCTCCTTTGAGCAGCATTTGTTTCTTCTTAATTTTTTTTTTTAATTCGCTCTAAAATAATAATTGAAATTTTTTTTTTTTTTTACGAAGTTGTTTCACTTCCACCAGACCCCCTTAAGAGCTCGTGCCAGAGGCACGTGGCCGTCACTTGCCTTCCAGGCCATTGGCGTTGAAGGTTACTTCAATAGTGAACAACCCCCCCTTTTCAGAGCACATCCTTCCCCCATTGGAAGAAATAATGTCCAAACCGTTGCAGGTCCTACCCCTATACCAAGAAAATTGATTCTTGATAATAACAAGCAATAAACTTGGCAGAGTAATAAGAATACAAAATAACATAAGTTATCCTGAAGTACAATCTATCATCACTGGCTCTTCTCCAGTTCTTTCATGGAAGATAAACGGCTCCATCAGATTCTCGCTTAAAAACGTTCGCACGCATTGCTCTAACTTAAGTCTCAGGTTAGCATTGCTCATGCCCAAGCGCATGTTTTCTGGACATCGCTGTAACTGTTCTAGCTAGTCGCTGAGCCCGAGTTATCGCTCCACAGAGCGTACTCTAGTTCTATTCACCTTAGCACTTGTTATGGCGATTAGTCGCCATTAAAGGCCAGGCAGTTTTATATCATCTACCTGTGCATTCGTCACATTTCTTCGAACGATCATCAAACCCTCCACAATTGACTGAATTAGTACATGTTTCTGATTCGAACTAAATCGAACGTTCCCTAATTACCCTGCATGCAGGCTTATCGGCAAGTATTTTGCATTCAGTCAATTATCAATGATGAAATTCTGATTTAAGATTCAGTAAATTAGTAAGTTAATTTTCAACCGAAGCTCTACTTACCACCAAAAATCCTCGGTATACCGGTAGGTTAGTAGAACAGTAGACCTCAGAACTTCGTTTCGCAACCTCGGGAGACAAAATTGATCATTCAGCAGGGATGTCTACACTGTGTCAATAGCAAAGTATGACGTCATGGACTGGCTCACAGCGCGGAGTAGCTACGTGCGCATCCTCGGAGACCCAGGGGCTGTCGGTCGATTTCAAGTTAGGCCCTGAAGAGCCCCTGGGGACATTGTCTTAGAAGACTAGTTGCAAACGGTCGCAGTCATTCTGCCATCTGATTGGTGCCAGAAAATCTTTGTGTTTTTCTGCCCAATCAGAGTGAAGAGTGCTTTGGAGTCCTTTCGTGTGTTGTAACACGGACAAATACTAAGAGCTCAGTTGCTGGCTATGTTTGTTTGGGCCGTGCGACTAGGCATTCATAGATTGCATATTATGCTAGTAGCATTGCTTTTTTTTGGCCAAATTATGCTGACATTATGCTCTTTTTTCCAAATTATGCCACCGTTTTTTTAAATTATGCTCTTTGAAAAAATGCAAATAAGTCCAAAATATATATTTTTTAACTAGAAGCCGTTCGTCTACAGGAAAGAAACGCAACAAACCACAATGAATTTCAAATAAACATGTGGCTCAGGTTAGACCCGGGCTCAGTGCTTCACAGTGAACTACAAATGCTACTAGTTTAACTAAAACTTTAAATATCGTANATAATCTTTCTTCCTTCAGTCCAAAGCCTTAGATCTTCACTAGCGAAGTTATTTTGCCCACAGCTCCCGTTCTGAACGCGCTTTCGACCCGGTGCTTTTCCTGCCTTTAACGCTTTCAACTATTAAATTCAGGAATTGCACCGGAAAGAATACTTAACTTCGGTGTCGATTACATGATTTAATTAATGAGATAGCGCTGTTTAGAAACCTTGCACATTCACTCAAACTATCAAAAGCAGGTAAGACTAAGACTGGAATGTCTTTAATTTAATTGTGTTATTAATTTAACATGCGGATGATATTCTCTCATTGTAATTTATTACAAGACTTCAAAGTTATCGAAATTGTGGTATCAGGATGAAAATGTTTAATTTAATTTCCTAAATGCTTCATGTTATACCATCTTACAGGGTTAGTGGAGATTCTAGGTGTTGTGGGTTTTAAATTTAATCAAAATTGTTCTCTAAGGAAAGTTGGAACCTATAAACTGGATTCTGGAGGGGAGTGGTAGGCAAAAGGTACACACAGAAGAAAGGGTATTGGCACAACGCAAATGCTACACTGATTTATTACCTGTAACATTGTCATGCCATGCAGGCTCCAAAGTAGAACTTAAATAACTCAATAACATGCCAACATTAAAAATATTTCACTGTGAGTGTATGATTATCTGGAACTAGTAGTTTTTTCAGGGACACTATATTAATGCAGCTGTGCTTGTGATATTGTAGGATCTAGCTTTAGAGTAAATTGAAATTAATCACTTGTAATGATATAAAAATATCAGTATATAATGAATTTTCAAACTTTTAAGGAGTTCTGTCACAGATGGCACATCTTGAAATGTCGAGTCTAGGATTTTCAAGTTTGTCAATTAGAAGCCTTCTCGATCTGCCTCATTCAAACCCATAGTTCAAAGTTCACTAGAAAATACCAAAGATAACTTTATTAATAACTATAAGCCCCTCTAAAATTTAGAGGAATAGATGAACAGAAAACGTTTATTGTGAACTATGATAATTTGTTATTCTACTTTGTAATTTCAGTACATTAAAACTTGCCTATTAATAACCTGCTATATCAAATTGCCTCACAGAAAACGTTTTTGATTTGAGTTGACTATTAAATTCAAATGAATTCTCGTGGGTTTAAAGAATACATTTAAATTTTGACCTTTTACAAACCATACACTGAAATGTTTCACCCAAGCTTATTTACAGAAACCACAGCACATTAAACATCAATGCAAAGCTTATCAAATGTAGAATCTGAGTAAATCACAATTTTGAGCGAGTGATGCTTCACTACGCAACAGAAGCCAAAAAATACAAGGAACAATCGAGCGTTAATTCCCTCGTGTATGTACCCTTAGCGTGATAACACCGGAGGCTTGACTAAAACGTTAGTGAAACAAGTTTGTTTGTATTTTCGCATCAACACAAAGGCTTGTAATTCAGACAAGCAAGCTCGGCCAGTTTGCATAATAAGGCTTGCATGTGCTTACGGCGACATTTCCTTTACTAGCTTGGCAGTGATATATAGGCTGTAGTTCCATGGAACATAATGCGAGTTTAAAGGATTTACTGAAGGGTACGCTGGTTATTTATTAGTAAACTTAAAATCCTTCTACTTATAACGGAAAACAAACCGTACAGTTTTTGTGGGCATTTGTGAAAAAATTCTCTGTTAACGCCGGTTTGCTTTTTGCAAACGAAAGGAACCTCTTTTTTTGCCGGCTTTTTGTTGTTGAGAATATACGCACGTGTTGGAAAAAAATTCAATATTTTGGGGTATATTCATGTGAAAAAGTGGAAAGGTGCCATTGTGGTTACATGAAAAATATTATTGTGGTTACATGAACAATATAATTTGACTGCGCGACTCTGCTAGTTATGTTCTAATAGTTTTTTAAAAAAAAAAAAACAGTTTTTAAGGTGGAGAAACACTTTGCTAGAAGCTAGTTTACAGGTTTTCCACCAAACAACAGAAACAAATAATTCAAATTGAAAATAACATTAAGAATCCCAACTGGCCGAAGGCAAACCAGTTGGCTATATTAGAAGCATGGCCGAGGATTTGAAACTCGGGGCTACCGTGAAACAAATCCAGGTAGTGGCCAGGGCGGGACTTGAACCCGGAAGCAGCGGATCGCAAGTCCGACACGCTGACCACTCGACCACGCTGCCTTCACGCGTGGTCGCGTGAAGGCAGCGTAGTATTTTTGGTTTGTGTTCAGTTTACCGGAGATTGCCCTCGATTCAAAACTAATCCGAGGATGGGTAAATTATCTCAAGAAAAGTATCAAACTAACTACCTTCGATATTTAATGTGACTTTCCTGTGGGACTTTATTTGTTTTCGCGATCTTGGGATAACCCCTTAGTTATTTTTGTTCAGTGAAAGGTTAAAGATATTAATTATTTAAAAAACATTATGCCACATAGTTTGCAAGTAGACTCAGGGGCTTATGTCAATATCCCAGCAAAGGTTAAAAGAGCGAAAGTTATGTAGCTAGGCTACCTCACCCACTGCGCTTTTCACTGGGTTCCTCGCCACCCTCCCTAATCCCCTTCTCCTGATGAGTTCAGTTCGGTCTTCAGACCTAACTAATCGTCGGAAGTCTGAGAGCAGGTTCTCATTAACAGCGTGTTACAGGTGGGTGAAATGAGTGAGCTAGAGGTTGGCGACGCTTACAAACCTCTTGCACGCTCGTTTTGTGAGCTTGGTGGCTCCTGTTAGTGGAGCCTCTATAAGGTGAATATCAATGAAACTTGCGTTAATATCTGTTTGACACGAGTTATATAAAATCTCGTTGATAGCTCACTCACAAAATTTACAGTCTTGATATCCCTTGGGGTGTAGCACGTTGGGTAGTCGACTTCTTAGTGCATCGCTACCAACGCGTAAAATTATCTGATTGTTTCTCTGAGTAGGGCCCCGTACCAGCTGGTGTACCTCAGGGGACAAAATTGGGGCCATGGCTCTTCAGGCTAATGATAAACAATCTAAGAATTCCCCAGGTTCAAACTTGGAAGTACGTTGATGACACGACGGTGGCAGAAATCGTCCCGCGTAACGCATTAGGTGACGCCCAAACCGCTGTTAAAGTGGTGGAAGATTGGTCCAAAGCACAGAAGATGCAGCTTAACGCTGACAAATGCAAAGTTATGGTCATCGACTACAAAAGGCAGAAACACCATTTCACTCCCCTCTTGGTAGATGGCAAAGAAATAGAGACGGTAGAGTCGGCTAGGATCCTAGGCGTGACTATTTCGTATAACCTTGAGTGGAACAACCACGTCAATGATGTTATAAAAAGAGCAAACAAACGATTATACTTTTAAGTCCTCCTGAAGAGAGCCCGCGTTCCAGCGGATGACATAATTAATTTTTATTGTACAACTATACGTCCTGTTCTGGAATACTGCGCACAAATATTCCATCATACTTTACCTGCGTATCTTAGTGATGACATTGAAAGGGTTCAAAGACGCGCATTATCCATCTTTTCTCCAGAACTGTCATACCATGACTCTTTAGAAAGGCACGGTTTGGCTTCGCTCTATGACAGACGCATGAAATTATGTACGGATCTGTTTTTGTCTGTCTCAAATCCATCTCACAAATTACATAATTTGTTGCCAGATAGGCATCTTTCAGCTTACAATACTAGACACCAGCGCGTTTTTAACATGCCGCGCTTTCGCACTGATCGTTTTAAATCTTCATTTATCCCGGCCATGTGCGCGTGTGCTAACCTAGATTTTTAGCTATTCCACTGCTGTATATTAGTTATATTTGTTACATTGATAATTTTATTTAGGTCTTAAATTGGTAGTCTTCTATAGTCTTATATAAGATTGTGAAAAGTACGCAATTCAGCCTATGGCTGCAATGTATTTTATTTGGTAATAAACTACCTATTTATCAATCTATCTATCTAGCTCTCTTCACTTTTGTGTCTCTTACTGCGTCAACCAAATCAGTCAAGTTTTTTGGGCCCCTTTCTTTCCAATGTCAAGACAACGTTCCGGTATTCATGGAGTCAAAGATACATTATGGCTGCATTGCACGCAGTTTTAGAGTGTTTATAATTCCGAATAAAACTTCTTGAGGTGTCTGTCATTAACTTCCACTCGGTTAGCTCAATGGATAAAGTGCTGGACTGATGTGCGGGAGGTCGAGGGTTCGAGCCCCAGCCGGACCAACACTCAAGGTCTTAAAATAATTGAGAATATGCTACCTTTCTATAACATCAAGAAATGGTTTAGATATTCTAGTCTTCTCGGATAGGGACGAATAAATGGAGGTCCCGTCTCCTGCAGGGTTAGGGGTAGGAGACGTTAATTTCCCACGCACGAGATTAGTGTGTGATGGATGTCCTCCCCTGGGGTGGGATGTGTGGGTTGTTGTCTTGCGTTTCATACATGAGCCTCTGGCTCGGGCAATATGGGTAACCAAGCCGCACGTTAAGACATCAAACTTTGATTACTATTACTATTAATACTACTAAAGATAGTTCAATGGAAGTATTCGCAGTTTTGATTCTTACAAATCTCAGGATTGTAGTATACAAGGCACCCATCGCTCTTTAACAAAAAATAAAAACTACAGAGAATTCAGCAGGAATAGTGACTTCAGTTTTAAGAATTGTACTAATTAAAAATCAAAATGAGTCATCTAATAAACTAACCTCATTTAATGTTTCTCGAGAATCTCAGTATTTAAAGAAGGAACTATCGACAAATTAATATCACTGTTGAAGAACGAGAAAATTCATAATTACAAAGCAAGCTATCGAGCAAACTCTGAAATATTTGCAATTGTGATTTACATGTAATAGGTATCAACTTAGTTCTCTAGACCTATAACAATGTCAAACTTTTCGCATCATGAAATAATTGAGACTCAGCAGTCACCACTCTTTGAAGATATCGTCTGGAATTACCCCACCTCTGTACAACATCAGAAAGTATTTCCACGGATGCCGTCTTCTCCTCGACCTCAGTTTTATCTCAAATCATCTGTTCAATGAAGCGCCACCGAAAAATTACCACACGAAGCACTGTGTTCAGTACCTTTTTCCGTCATGTTTCTTAGGTGAACGCGTTGTTCTGCTCTCTTTCATAGTCCCATTCAAACTGACAAATAAAATTTGGATAAACGTTACATATATTTTAAAGGGTAATGAAGACAAACATTAAAGTGCCTATAACCCCCCAAAATTTTTTTGGCTATATTGAATCTCTCTATTGCACTGAGCAAAATGCCGCAAAAAGTTTTGTGTTTGGTTAAAACCGCGATTTTTTATGACTTTTCAAAGTCGAGTTAGTTTTCAAACGACCGAGTGAACCAGAGACTGGGGCCAGTGACGTCATTCCAGGCCATCCGATCCAATCTCAGTCAATATTATACGTTCCCAACGAGATGAAACCTTCGTTAAAGCCTGATCGGGTAAATTTTTCTCACCTTTCTCTTACTTCGCTCGCTTTCAGCTGATTTCGCTCCCTCCGACTGATTCCACGCGTGATCAGCCCGAAAGACGCAAATTTCAACTCCATCTTTTCGCAACCTTCGTTGCATGGTCTTGCTATAGCTAGTCAGAGCAGAAAACATGACTGAATAATCTTCTTCTCGGAAGTGGTTGGAATACATGGCCGAGTATTTTGTGGGCTTCCAATGTGCACGCTTCAATTGCACAAAGTCAACCCACTTCTTTCTTCACTTTTTTTCTCCGGGTCATCTGCCCCATAAAAAGGTATCGGATGAAGTGCTATTCTTTTTTCTTTGTTGGGAGTGTTGCTACAACCGAAAACAACGTACTTATCAGGCATATCCGTCAAGATACTTCATCCAGTCCTTGAAGCAAACTAATTGAAAAGCCTGGAATGACGTCACAAACTGTGCTCGACCCAGACCCATCTTGATAATTCCGTGCCTAGGTCAGTGTTTTGAAAAAATGCGATTTTTCCACGACTTTGAAAATTCATAAAAAATCGGGGCTTTAACTAAACACAAAAATTTTTGCGGTATTTTGTTCAGTGCAATAGAGAGATTTAATATGGTCAAAAAAAGTTTGGGGGGCTATAGGCACTTTAATTAATTTTGATTCCATTAGAGAACGTTTGGTCCAATAATTGCGATCTAGTTTACCTGGAAGAGTTCGGCGCCGAATTCCCTGGAAAAACTTGCTTTGCGCGCGAATTACAAAGAATCGATATAAACTCGTGCAAATTAATCTTATAATCCAACAAATAGTTCTGCTTGTACGCAAAATCGAATATTCCCTGAGTGATATTCCACAATTTAAAAACCTTATGTCCACTGCGAAAGGTCTTCGTTTAGAACTTGATTCAAGATAAGGAAGCTTTGTGTCGTTAATAACGAAAAAAGGACATGATTGTTTGTTTATGAAGTCGAATCAGAGAACACTGAAAAGCGAAGATCCCAAACCGTAAAAGGTGAGCTATTCGTAAACTTTTTTCTCATTCGCACATTTCAAAATATTTGAATTATAGTAAACATAGCAGCCTCCACTTGGCCCAAAAACAAGCTCGTATATTTGTCCTTGGATATTACCTGTTCTTCCAAACTCATAGTTCTCCTCGAGCTTGGCTCTCGGAAAGAGATAACATCTTGGAACAGATAATGTCTGCGGACTAAAATCCAAAACAAAAAAAACCATCCAAAAAGAAACTGATCAGCTGAGTTGATAATGTGAATTGCCCACCATAAATAGATACTAAAGCTGACCGGTTTCGAGCGCTAGCCTCTCGTCTAAGAGAATGAACAAACGAAGAGCTAACGCTCGAAATGTCAGCTTTAGAAACTCTTTTACGGTGGCCAGTTCACATCATAAACAAAGTCGATAAAACCAAATTATCTTGTGATACCACCCCATTGACACAGCACCACATTTTCTTAAAAAAAACTACCCCCTTTATAAACTTGTCGTGTAAAAATAATCACATACCTCTGCATTTTCAGTTGTTAAAACACAAGATAGTATCACATTCTTTTGTAAAGTTCAAATCCTGTTTGCACTCACACTAGTATAGGCCAGGAGTGTTGACACATTTGTGCAGTGGAACTCATCTATGCAAAAGTTCTGGCTTAATGAGAACAATACGAACGTTAAGTTAACAACTCTCTAAGAATTAATGAGAAAAATAAATTAAGTTTACCTATACATTTCGAAGATCGAAACTAATGTGGTCTTTAGATATGGCAGCAAATATAAGTCGTCGTTTTTCATACGAACTAACCCCCTATTGCATACTGGCAGGGTAAAATTTCTGCAAGGCTTGCGCTTACCGAGCAGGTTCATTATGGATAAATCACGCTTCATCGACCCCTACAGAAATAAAAGAGGCCATCTAGTAAATTATGAAAACATGCGACGAAGTCGAAATTTTTGCCTGCCGAGGTTTAACTTAAGATCAAATTAGTCTAATTCTAAGCGATCATTAAATTAGGAAGGACTTGTTGGGAGGGAGAAGTTAGCTATAAACTTTGCGCCAAACTATGTCACTCATCTGACCTGTGTAGAATTTGATTTGTATAGCAATCCTTCTTCGATTCAAAATCCTTTTTATTCGAACACTTACACATGCGAATCTGACTACACTGATTTTTATGGTTGGATCACAATCATCGATATCTGCAAAAATTAAAGGATAATGATGATCACTAGGCTACAGAGGGTGCTTATAAGTTGTATTTCAATATTCAAAATAGCATTTCATTATTTCAGTTGACATACGTTGAAAAGGGAATTAGTGAATGTGATCTTCACTAGAGTAACCAGTGATCGTAAAGCTCTCACTTAAAGGGAGAAATACCCAAGTTAACTCACCATCTCCTCGAGATTGAACTACAAAATAATAAAAGGTTACCGTTGTGTTTACCCTTACATTTCTTCCATGCAGGTCGTAGTTACCAAACTCGGGAAGCATAAGTTCTTCACAGCTGTTTTCCTTAAAGCAAATATATTAGCAGCCATGAACAAAAGAAAAAGGATCTGTGGCTGTAATGGAATAGGATCAGTGGTACTATTGGTAAATTTTGTTGTTGACGGTGGCCTTCCGACATGGCGGCCGAAATTTGAAGTATTTTCAACATAAGCTAAGCACTTGCTGCATATTAGTAGAGTAGAATATATATGCGTTATTAACCAAGCGTAAGGTCAGGATGGCTGGATATTTTTCGAGTTCTTTTTTTGCATTTTTATGGTTAGTGTTATCGGTTAGTGTTATCAGCCGAAGCCGAAGGCTTCGGCTGATAACACTTACCTCGACCTTGATTATTCCGGATATCACAAAAACCTCATCCAGTAATTGTTTATCATTACATCGCTCGCAGCGCCAGTGGGCAAGATGAAGCGAGTCCTGCGTTCTGATTGGCTACCCGAGCGGGTAAGATGGGCCAATCTTTCCCCCTCGGGATTACCTGCATCGATCCCGCCTCTTTCTTTTTTCGCATGCAAAATGTGTTCTTTTTTCGCATGTTCAAAATGCGAAAAAAGAACTCGGCTAATCTCCAGCATCTAGACCTCATGCTTGGTTAATAACGCATATTTCTCGCGCGGAAGGCTGATTCGCCGCTTGTTAATTGTTTAGCTCGATCGTTCGCTTGCTCTGGATAATGCAGTGGACTGAAATAAGACAAAAACCGTCGCTATCGATTTCCATCGCAACGTTTACCATCGTATCTGCGTGAATTCCGATTCTAATCTAGTAATGAAGTTTTAAGAGTTAAGCATCAGAAGTCTTACCACGACACCTTTACCTGTTATCATTCAGCTTCCATTACTTCCATCCGCATTCTTTTCGACCTTACTACATTTTAGCACACAGTTTCAGTTCAGTGAAGTTCAAATATAGGAGAAGTGATTTACTGATAGCTTACTGCCAGCAGATTCTTGGAATGGGTGGGGGAGTGGAAGATGAAAACGGGGTTTCATCTCTGTCGTTGTCTTCTTCGTAACCTTCATCACCTTCATCACCGTGGTCGTTCTCACTCCCTTCTTCCTCAGTACCAGTTTCCTCCTGAATTTCCCGAGCAGCTCGTCTTGACTCTGCCGCAGCATGCATGCGTTTGAATCCCAGTATACGAGACCGTGATGCTCTATCCAATGCGCGGTCTACATTAGTTAGTAACCTGTTTATTTCCATGTTATTGGCCGCCATGTCCAGACGAATCTTAAGAAACTCAAGAAGCTGAAAATGGCTGTTTCGAGCAGGGCTTTCCTGGTCCTGTGATGGACAGGGCGGGGGAGGAGAGGATTTTGATACTTTATCATTATCTTGCTCTTCAAGTTCTTGATTGCTCGTTGATTGTTTAACGACAGTCGAATGTGACAACGAGGCGTTTGATTCGCTACCGGTAATAGGCCTACTATCGTCTGAGGGACTCTCGTCTGTTATGGATTGCACAACAATTATACTGGCATTCGACATGGTCGTTTCAATATCGGTAGTCATTTGGTTCACCAGAATTGGAGTAGCGTGACCAATGACTGTTGCGTCCACGTTTCTTTGATTTTCCTCGGTTGTGGACTCACATCGTTCCCCAGCAAGTGTATCGCTATCAGTGATGGATTGTACCGAGGTAATTGAAAGGCTGTGCCTTCGCCTTAAGGATGGCCAGTTCTTTGAAGAATTCTTGTTTCTGCAAAGCTTTCTCTTTCCTCTTCCCTTTCCTTTCCCTTTCCCTTTAGAATTTTTGTCTCGCCCTGACGAGGAAGAACAATCTTTGTTTTGAGTACACCACGAGAAACAGTTTCCCATCTTGAACCGTGTATGGAAACTAACAACTTTTAATGTAGAGAAGTATAATCATTATGCAGACTTTGATACGTCACAGATAAGTCAAATTGACGTCAATTTTAGAAGGCACCAGTGCGCGCGCTTAATAGAAAAGTCAAGTTCGTATTGAAATTAGAAAGCACTAGTGAGTGTCCATGGTGGAATTTTGGAACAATGCGGAGCTATTTTCATCTTTTTTGAAAGTACCTCTGCTGGACGGAATCTTAAATCCTCGAATCTGATCGACTAATCGCGCGCAAGTAACCGGTCAGCTTTTTACAATGCTTACGGCAGTTCGAAATATTTCCGCGCCGTTCGCGGCAAAGCGGAAAATAGCAAACCAGCGCAATTACGATATGAGTTATTTACCAAAAGGCGGTCCATAAGGGGAAAAACTGTGACCTTAGTCCTGGGATCAGCCCTCGGCCTTTGGTCTCTTGCCCTACTCAAGAGCTCGGGCACTTTTTTTTTTCTTACGGACCTCTCGCCGGGTACAAAAATAAACAAACTTTTCTCCATTACATTTGCATTTTGTGTACTGAATTTCAATCCTGCCCCAGCAACCTAAGCGGATCGGAATTCTTTCCACTACCCTAGTGCCCAGTTAACTTGTGCACGCGGTTTGCCCTGATGATTTACTTGCTTTTCGTTTTTCGTATCAATAGGCGAATTTTTTTAATTGTCTGCAGTGAGTCAGTATATTATAAAAAAACAAGGGGCCGTTCAGGGCAAAACCATTGAAGTAAGTCATTCTGATGCTAAATGTGAAAGTTTGTGCACTTAATTATATGCCATTGTCTATTGGAACCGTAGGGTTACAATCACTTTCCGATAGCTTAAGCCTTTCTCCCATATGCCAGAAGTCAGTTAATTTTGATGACCCCAGATCCTTGGAATATTATCATGATCTTTCATGGAAATTCGATCGTAATAGCTAATATCTCTCGAAAACTTTCACGCGTACGTCAATGTAAAAGTAATGTGCACCTCTTTACTTATACTTAATAGTAATGCATCAAAGGCTCGGCATAGGACACAAATTAGAGCTGGCAAAACATGTGAAAAAGAATGCAATCTTAACAGACCCCTTCCGGAGACGGAGAAAGTGGCGAAAGGCGTATCGATCGCAGAACTGCCCCTCTGAGACTATGATGCAGCTTATGCTGACTCCTAGAGTTCAACTGAACGCCATCGGGTGTATAAAAATTGTCTTTCGCCTTCCAAAACCCTCTATGGCCCCAGAATATGGCATATGGTATAGGGTCTAACACAACCCTAAGGTATCGTGTTAACATGCCGACCTTTGTGTTAAAATCGTCAGCTGAGTTTCGCCGAACAGTCTGGCACACGCACACCAACTTCTCCCCGTATGATTCGTGTAAGAAATGGAAAAATTATTCGAGAGCTGAACCAACATTCAATGGCGAAAGAGTACCGAGGTCATTAACTGATGTTACTTGGTGTAACATCTTCACCTTGTTTTGCAGTATGCTTACTAACAGAGCTTAACAGACAGATCTTGGTGACCAAATTGAACATTAATAGTGTGTCTCTCTAAAAGCGGTCCGGTATATTTTGCTTGAGACACAGATTTCCCTCATTTCTTGTGGGTTGTAAGACATTCTTGTGCCTCTACTAAAACCACAATCCGTTTGATCGGATCTCTTTATTTTTCAAAGTTTTACGGAAATGAAATTTCACTCGAGCGAAGGCCTGTCGTGACACTTTTCAAGACTTTAATACTCCAGTTTCGCGTTCTGTGCTGATAACCGCTGTTCGAATGTTTGCAGATACTTTCAAGCGTGAAAACGAGGCTAACCCTGTATCATATCATCGTAGTATACAAACAAACCAAGTGCGAGCGTGTAAAAATCTTGATTTTTTTAACTTATAAGAGCTCTTTTTAGTAAATATTTAAGTCGAAAAATGTGGCGAAGGCTGCCTGATGGACACAATTCAGAAGATAGAGGACTTTCAAAAGCTTACAGTGAAATATTTAAGAGAAATATTGAAAGTAGAAAACCAGCCATGTGGCGGCAAGAAGGCTGATCTTGTCCTAAGATGTCAAGCTATTTATCAAAGAAAAGTGGTCTGCGTCGAGCCTGACAACGTTTCAAAACAAGAACAGCCATTGATATCGTTGATTTCGAACACCAAAAGTGACCACGAAATAACGTACGAAGTTTTGTCTAGAGATCAAGCCTCTCGGGGATGTGAGTGGAGCAAGGACTTGCGAAATATACCGTCGTTCAACCTCGTACAACTCTACGACTATGGAATATGGATGGCTCTGCTCCTGAAAAATATAAACACCAAAGA